TGAAGGCTTACTCCATCCTTGGTAGTTTTGCTACACCCAGCAGCCACACACCTTGTCGGCATGGCCGAAAATCGGGTGTTATTTCTCCTCGATTCCGAACGAAACACCAGAAAAACTTTCAGTGCCGCAATGTTATTATGATGCACGCCGCAATGCCGGTGCCCCCGCAGCGCGGCAAGTCTCTGCCTTCGCTGGCGTCATACCCCTCGCGAAGTTTTATGTTAATGAAGCTTCCCTTTGTGGGGCGGAGTAGTTTGACCAAACATGTTCACAAATTATTTTCCCCCATTTATCTTAGAAAATAAACACCGCCATACACAAAATATTGTTAAGAACATCATCCTTTATTGATTTAAGCAAAAAAAATGCAATCAAAATTTTATTGCATGTTCCCTTTAAGTGCTAAGCAGTGCCGTGAAATTGCCCCCGCTGGAGATTACTCATTACCACTTTCCCTAATGCTGCAGCACTGGCACCCCCAAGCAGTAAGCTTAAACCAACCCGAAAGTCGTTCGATCATCGTTAACAGTTAAGATTCACCCGTGATTGGCTGGCAGTGCATACGTCAGCATGCATGTCTGCGCATGCTCAGCTTCTAATAATGAGGCAATCTGGGGTGATAGGCAATCCTTGTGTTCTTGTGAGTGCACACCTCTTGAGGATTTTTTTTAACTTTTTTACCATTCCCTGGGCTGCCCCTGCTAATGAGATTTGTTCACTGTGGATGTTTTTGTCAAAAGATAAAAAAAAAATCAGCATCAGCAAAATAAGTCCATCATAGGTCCATCACAAGTCCATCACAAGTCCACCCCAAGCATATCATAAGTGCATCACAAGTCCATCACAAGTCCATCACAAGTCTATCACAAGTCCATCACATGTCTATCCTAAGTCCATCACAAGTCCATCACAAGTCCACCAAGAGTCCATCAAAATCCATCACAAGTACATCAGAAGTGCACCAGAAGTCCATTACAAGTCCATCACAAGTCCATCACAAGTCCATCAAAAGTCCATCACAAGTCCATCACAAGTCCATCAAAAGTCCATCACAAGTCCATCACATGTCCATCACAAGTCCATCACAAGTCCATCACAAGTCCATCACATGTCCATCACAAGTCCATCACAAGTCCATCACAAGTCCACAACAAGTCTATCACATGTCCATCCTAAGTCCATCACAAGTCCACCACAAGTCCACCACAAGTCCATCAAAAGTCCATCAAAAGTCCATCAAAAGTCCACTACAAGTCCATCACAAGTCCATTACAAGTCCATCACAAGTTTATCATATGTCCATCACAAGTCCATTACAAGTCCATCACAAGTTTATCACATATCCACCGCAAGTCCACCGCAAGTCTTTCAGTCTGAAATCACGTCACTGGCCATTCATAGTACCGTAAAAGAAGAATTCTTTTATCATTGTTTTTTTTTTCAACTCCTTTTGAATGGACTGGTAAAAGGACTTGGACGGCACTCATGAACAGACTTGTGACTGGACTTGTGACTGGACTCGTATAAACTTGACTTGTGACTGGACTTGTGACTGGACTTGTATTAAAGTGGACTTGTAGTTTCTATGTCATCACCTGACAACGAGAAATGAATAAACAATACAAAAACTGTGTGGATCGTTGATGAGATTGAAGAAATCGAGTAGGCCTAATAACGACGCCTTGTTCTATTGCATCTGTATGGCGTGCGGAGTTCACACTGAAAATGGAAGGTCCCTTCTGCCATAAATTAAGAGTACATTGATTTTTATCTTTCGTCCTTTCAAAGTCTTCTAGTGCGCTCGGTGTATTCTATGAACAATGTAAATTTCAAGGACAGAATTCCATTATTACAATTTCTTCGCTCTTGCTTGATTAGTTTTTCTGCAGGTTCATTATTAGCACCAAGCTTGCTGGCTACAGTGGATTCTGCGTTTTTAATATTTCACCTTTTCAAAGTCTTCTGACGCGCTAAGCATATTCTATGAAAACTGTGAATATCAAGGACAGAATTCCGTTATTGCAATATATGCGCTCTTGCTTCATATGTCCCCCCCCCCCCCCCCCCAAAGGTTCATTATTGGGACCAAGCTTGTTGACTACAGCGTATCATTACAGGAAGACAGTTCCGTTCCTTGGCGATGCCGCGCCATTTCATATCGATTTCCGACTGTTTGCAGTGGGCTGCGTTGTTAACTTTGATGATGAAAATTTGAAGTTTAGATTCACTCCTCATTGGTTAGTATGCATGGTCAGAATGCATGGTCTGCGGCTGCGTAGCTCTGGGTCAAGCTTGTGGTGCTATATGGTGCGTTTATAGCTCCCCCGGGTCGACATGGGTAAAGGCAGACGGGTCAGCCACAACAGCCGGGCTAATCCGACGCTCAACCGCGGCCCATCACGATCCTCACGTGACGCCCTTAGCCATGGCCGTAACAACTGATAAAAAAACCCCGCCCGTTTCGGATTGGGTCTAAGGTTGAGATTTACTGTGTTTTAGTCAAATGTAAAACTCAAAAACGTTGGGCTGAAATTATAGTCTTAAAAACAATAGGATCAACCTCTCAGGCACTATGGGCTCCGTGCGCAAACAAAAGAGGGCGCGTTGTTACCACTTTTGAGAGCCCCTAGGACGGGACACCGCGTGTACGTACGGGACTGGTTCGCAAGCGAAGTACTAAAAACGTATCTATCCTGAATGTGCCATAGATATAGAATAAAAAGACTAGCTCGGCAGTTCGTACAGACGCGCGTTCTCCCATGGGCGGCGCCTTTTTTTCAGCGTGTGGGGAAAATGTTGAATTACGCGCACCTTTATTTCCGTAGGGTTTGTATGAAAAAGTAATATTTTATGTCGGTAAAAGTAATATTTGTCCTTCAGTAGTTATTTACCCAACAAAATTCAAATTGGGTTACCAAGCTGCATGTTCATCTCGAAATTTGGTCCATTCTGTTCTTCGTTTTTAATTTACATTTTAAAATGCTGGTGCTCGTTGCTAAAAAAAAACCCATTACATCCAGTCGTTAAAGTGTTATTTGCTTCTGAATCATCAAAACAGAGTACATGTATATAGCCCGCAGCCTCCATTAACTTACAGAATGATGATCATTTTGAACGACTTCTTCTGTTAGTTGTTGACTTGTTCTTAAATTTAAATTCACAGCAGCTTTAAGGGGTAACACCTAGTTTTTTCTCCATTGTCCCTCCTAAGGCCAAGGACATGACAAACGCCATTATCAGATAAAAAATAGAACAAATACATGTATGATTGTGCTCTCCTGCGTATCCAGCATCCCAAATCTGCAAGATGGCGCAAGAATCTCACAATATTGAACAACATGGGTAGATCATATATGTATGAATAAACTTGAGGAGTTAATTAGATTTAAAAACGGTTTTGCCATCTCGTTTCCCTATGAGTAGCCGTGGTTTTGTGTGTCCGTTGCAAAAGATAATTCTCAATGTCAAACCCCCGATAACGCCTTGAAGATCTCCATGATTTTGCAATTAATGCCCCCCTTCCAACCTGGTCGTGAAATATGCACAACAAACACACTCATCGTCCGTACCCTCAAAACATTTTACAATGTTAATTTTAAATAATTCAACGGTAATTTAAAGCAGTTTTCACATTCCGTGTTTTTTTTTATTGTTTAAAACTATGTTTCTATGTACAATTAATCAGATACCAGACATATGTTGGGTTGCCAGTGGGGGGCCAACACCTCTAACGTAGCAAAGACCTCTTTGTCTTAAATTTTTAGGAAATAAATTTGACGCGTATCTCTCTCGTAACCCATCAGCTGCACATATATTTCAGTTTTAATATTACAATGTGAAAAAGCGCAAGATATTATACTTAACTCCCTTCCCCTTAAAAAAAATCCTCGAGCCCTTTTGCCCCTTCCCTCAAAAATTTGGTAATGGATCAGTCGCGTTGATTTCTCATTGTAACTGACAAAGATTGAGTAATTATAAGAACGAAGGTTCCATTATTTTTTGGAGGTAATACAAAGGACGATAGCAGCAGACGAAACTCTTGGACCCGTTTAGTGGTTGAGATATGTCTTTGCTGATCTTGGTGCCGTTTTGTTTGTGTGTTTATTTGTTCTTTATACTTGTCTTGTGGCCAATGATTTTATGAAGGGTCTAGGCCTATATTCTATTTTACAACCTCTAAAGCTAAAGCCTTTCCGTTCGCTCTATGGTATGAACACAGTGAATGTCAAGGGCAATGTGTTGCAATATCTGCAATAAATCTGTGAATGGTAACTAGCTGGAGATCGTACTTTAAAGAGCCTCTAGATTTTTTTCTGGCGAATTTTACTTAAATTGTGTGTTATTTTGCATAACACTGTTTACCTAATTATTTTTTTACATATCTTTTTGAGAGTGTATTACCAGATGGTAAACCATTCCATATCGATTTGTGACTGTTTATGACTGAGATGGTCGTCATTGTTCAATTTTAAAACGGTGTTTTTTTTTCCTAGACGTTATTTTGTTAAAACTGGAAACTGTAATTACAAGGGGATACCAATTGGCTGTTACGCTACCCGCTTCCAGCATAGCTCCATCCATACTACAAGCTTCTACTGTCGTTGCGAGTTCAGGCTCGTTCGTGTTTGGCTAGACTTGCTATGACGTCAGCCTTTTTGCGGTCTGCAGCTACTGAGGCGAGCGAGTGGCGTTTTCTACTCGGCGATATACGATCAACACTAACGGAGTCTCGATCATTGCGTCAATCAGGTTTGGTCTTAGTAGTCAGGCTCATTCCTGATCGTCGTTCAGTAATCTACATGCGAAGCTGGTGTGGTGTCTGTGTCGTTCATTGCATTAATCAGAGAAAGGTTCCAGTAAAGTGTTTAGTCGAGGCTCTTTTCCCATTGTTGTTCAGTAGTCTACGTGCGTAGTTTACCCTTTGTATAATTCGCGTTGGTGTGTGAGTCGTTAAATACATCCTAGCGTATTGTGCTCAGAATTCACCTGCATCTTGGACAATGGACGAAGCAGCAGCTTTGGTTCTGATGCTGTCAGTAATGGCAGGTAAGATTGAGTAATCTATTTATTTATTTATTCCATTTCTCTACCCAGGGTATGCCCAATCAGTTTAAAACTGGTTTCCATTGGGGCCCTGCATACAATAAATAATGACTACAAACATGTATAATTATACAATACATTACAAATACAATAAAATTCAATACAGTGAGATAAAACAGTATTTGAATAATGCATAGGTGTTAAGCAAATATTATAAATACAATACATTTTAAAACTATTATAACTACATGTACAGTATGAATGCTTTACTATAAAGTTGATTCAGTGAACACGAATTTTGATCTATCTTGTAACATCAAGAAAAGAAAAAAAAAATATTGCTGTAACTATATTTGCTGATTACGGGAGGGGCGAAAACCCTGCGAAAACCCTTTTGGGAGAAAACACGGGGAAATTCCCATCCGGCTCCTTATTATCTTCTTATTATTATGGCAACCAAGTTTGTTAACTCCGTAGATCAGCACATATCTAGATTCGTATAATCAGAGAAGACAGCGGCAAATACACAAATAATTATTTGCAGAAATATTATTACTGACTGAACGTTTAACGTAGCTCAGATTTGAATGAGGCTAGTGAAGTCATGATTCTCAACTGCACATGTAAATTATTCCAGATGATTGTACCAGTTACAGCAAAGCTTGAGGCATAACATTGTTTTTTTTGCAAAAGGAATCCTCAATGCCATATCAGTGGATTGTCTAGTTTCACGAATCTGAATAAGTGGTGTAAACATAATTATTTGTCATATACAAAGGAGTAATTTTGTTTATACATTTGTAAACAAGAATAGCCTTTTTATACTCTACTCGTTCAGCAAATGACATCCAATTAAGACTAGCAAACATATCTATCACCTTTAGTACGTCGATCCTCCGACTGGGTTGTTTGCCAATATCAGACAAGCTTAGCTAGATCAGGATCGGGGACACAATGTGCATCTCTCCCATTTAATTTCTGACATAAAACCCCAAGTTGCAATAGTCGTTCGCCATTGAATGTTGTGATTTGTGTCGGTTTGACATGAACATAATTTGTGAATGTTTATGGTCACCGTCACAACCGAGTAAACTAAACATTATTTTGATAAATTATCGGCGTATTGAAACAGAGATATTTGAAAACAAAACGGCGGCCGCTACATATATTACCAGTTTGTAACCACGGAAATGGAAAATTGAACTGGTAACATATACATAGATTTAAGTGTTAAGATTCAAGTATGATTAACCTTATCAAGATTGACCCTGTCAAGTCCCTTTGGGCTAGCGGAGGTATTGTGTCCCAATCCTTATTTCAGAGTACGTTAGCCGATTTTTCTAAAATTAAGCAATACTGTTAATTGGCAAATAATTCAAAATATAACCTCAGTTGTTTGGCGCGACGGTGACTCAAAAAGGGCACGTTATAACAATGTTGGTAAACTTATTCATCATTTCGACATTTTCGTTCAAATTATTTGAAATTTGGTAAAAAAATTTGAGGGGTCAATTATGGTGGTCCAAAAGCTCAACAGGATAGCACAAACACTGATTGAACGTTTTGTTAAAATGCATTTTCTCCTTTTCTGCCTTTCTGCTAACAGAAAAGCAAATTGTCTGTTTTGCTAAAATTCATTTTCCTCCTTTTTTTTGTTTTTCTGACAAAATGTTTGATCTGCTTTTCTTGTAGCAGAAAAGCAGATGTCCACTTTTGAATTTGAACCACCTGAAAAAAAAGTTCAATTTGCTTTTCTGGTAGCAGAAATGCATATGTCTCTTTTTGAACCGCCACTGAAGGACCAAAGTAAAGCCAGCTTTTTTGGTAGCAGAATACCAGAAAGACAGAAAAACACATTTTAGTAGAACGTTCAATCTGCTTTTTATTTTCTGGTAGCAGAAAATCAGAAACTAGAAAAATGCATTTTAACAAAACGTCAGCTTTTTTGCTATTCTGTTAGTAGAAAAGCAGATGTCCACTTTTAAACCGCCAAAGATCAATACACCTTTTTCGCGTGTCTGCCATATTAAATTCAAAGCGAGGTAAAGTCTTCATTTTATGAACTTTAGATTAGAAATTCCAAATTGCTCTGATAAATAATTAAAAAAAACATTGACTAAACATACCCTTATGTTTTAAGCTACCTTTAAAATAAATAAAAGACGCCAAATACAGTAGTCTGGCACCATCTTATTCAACAGTTTACAATTTTTGTGAAATAGATTCGGGGAACATGATCGAAAATGGTTTCCTTGCATCGTGAATAACGTCTAGTCTGGTTCCGTTCTACTTCTACTTCTACATTGGTGCTTGGCAAAGTCCCCACATCGGGATATCACACCAAGGTTGGGCGTAAGACCGATGAATATCTAAGGTAGACTGAGGGTGGTTTTGAATTGGGAAAAGGAAGCAGAGGTGACTGATGCAGGGAGGTTGTTCCAAGTAGGTATTGTTCTTGGAAACAAGGAGTATTTGTAGACTTTGTATTAGTTGTATTAATAGCTATGTGGTAATACTTAAACTGATGATAACTTCGTGATCCTGGGACTGCTGGAGTTAAAAGTTATGCGGGCTGAGAGATGGTAGTTGGTTGTTACAGATCAGGTACATTGTTGATAGTCGGGCGTTTCTTCGACGGGTTTCCAGTGACTCCCATTTCAATTCCTTGATCGTAGAAGACACGCTTTCAGTGGGATGATGTTTGCTGAGAACGTACCTTGCAGCTCGTTTTGTATGGCTTCTATTTTGATGATGTTGGTTTTTGTATACGGGTCCCATAAACAACTGCAGTATTCCAGACGCAGACGTACTAAGGCAGTGAATGCGCGTTCCTTGAAGTCTTTGGAGCAGTGTTTTAAGTTGCGGCGGACGAGACCCCAAATCAGATTGGCATTATTAGTAATGTTGTCAATACGTTTGTTTCATGAAAGCTTTTGTGAGAAGTAGAGGCCCAGATAGGAGTGTTCTGCAACAGTTGTTAAAGCATTCAGACCTAATCTGTAAGTGGACTCGATGTTGTTACAGAGGGCCGGGGGATATGGTCATGCTGTGACATTTCTCAACGTTAAACTGCATTTGCCACTTGTCGGCCCATGACTTTAAACTATTGAGGTCGTGTTGTAGTATAGCAATATCTTCAGCAGTGGCGATTGTTTTATAGAGTAAACAGTCATCTGCGAAGGGACGAATACTAGACTGAATCGAGTCCGCGAGGTCATCGATGAAGGTGAGGAAAGGGAAGGGGCCCGACGACCGTTCCTTGAGGAACTCCTGAAATCTTTCGTGGTTACCTTTGCTGAAAAGAAATATTTTGCGAGGTTTCTTTTTGTTGATTTTGGCTTTTAAGTTCATTCCCAATGATATAGCTTCGTGGTCACTGATGCCTGGTATGATTGAACAGTATGAAACCAAACTGGGATGGGAAGTTCAGGCGAGATCTAGGATGTTTCTTGTAGGGCCACAGATTCTTGTCGGGTTTGGCACTTGTTGCTCTAGATCATTATCACAGAAGATAGTGAGCAGCAAGGAACATTTTGCAGTCTCATCTCCGACCAGTTTGACAGTGGATGATGACAAATCAATATCTGGGAGGTTGCAGTCACCTCCCAGATAAATGATGGCAGATTGTACTTTTGCCTAATTTTGTAAAGAGCGTCGTTTAGTTGAAACAAGCTGGAGGTATATTTCTCTGGTGGACGATATAAGTATCCAATTAGCAGAGATTTTTGACCTCGAGTTCTTATTTGAATCCATAACAGTTCCGCTTTGGTGTCCAAAATTAACCTCTATAGGGAAGCAAGGCGTCTTTAATCATAATAAAGACCCACCTCCTCAGAGGTTACGATCTTTTCTGATGATGGAGAAAACGTTGGGGTAATTTCAGCATCGGTGATTGAGTCAAAAAGGTATGACTCAGTTACGGGCTTCTCTGGTTCAATTAGGCTTTTGAGAAGAATTTGTTTGCTTTTGAGTCCATGCAGTTGACGATTATAATTTTGATATTGTTTTGCGGCGGTTGTTTGATTGTTTACGACGAGCTTTGTGCTGTTTTTTTTTTTATGATGATCAAACTGGTGGCAAGGAGTCGATTTGGACGGAATAGAGGTTAAGTCTGGGAGGCCAAGAGTGTCTGTCATGTCTGTGTTGTTAAATATTAAAAACATGCAATGAGTTTGAGAGGGACAAGTTGAGAGAGTTACTGAACCGAGAGGAGCTGCAAGATGGCATCCGGGTTGCATAGGCCATCGTAGACCTCTGAGGACATATCCATGCAGTGACCATGAAACTATCTGTCACTATTATTGCAGCATACAGCTCTTTGTCCCCATCGGACAGCTTTACTGCAGATGACACAAGGATACTTGACTTTGTATGGACCTGGATTACGTTCGGTGTCACCTGCCATGAACAGCAGAAGAGCGTTGTAGCTGCTGTTGGATTCCGAATTGAATGAAGATCTAAAACATTGAAAGCGTTCATCAACAATGAGGTTGGAAACCAATTGAGTTGGCATGCCCTGCTGGCTGAAGGTGATCCCAAATGGGTTCCTTTGGATCAAAGGCCTGTGGTGTGTTCTTTGACAGTTTTCAAAAGAGTCATTGAAGTGCTGAATCGAAATTGATACTAGCACAGAACTGATAGTGATATTGAAGTTCGGCATCTTGAACGTGATGAAGATAAACAAAAGCAGTAGGTACGTGTAGGTCAGTGCTGTCCAGAAAAAAAAAAGACGGCGAAGAACGACAAAATGTCTATCGAGGTTCCCAAAATCCCTGGCACAATGTAGACAAGTTAAGGATTAACCAAATTACTTTCAGGTGGATAATCTTGGGAGCAGCACCGTTGGGAATCCCATAGAAACTTCTGTGTCCATTACAACCAAGATGGCGACGATGTTGTGAAACAGTTAAAAAAGTCCATGTACAATCACAATACACCATGAACTACACGTATGTAGTATCACAAACTGGAAGATGCAAGCCAATAAGGTTCAACGCAGAGCTGCCCGGTTTGTTCTCAAAGATTACCGGCGTACATCCAGCGTCACCAAGATGGTTAAGACGTTACAATATGATTCCTTAGCAGATGTGCGAAAAAACTCCAGACTTACTCACTTTTATAAAATCCACACCGGAAGTTCTCCTGCCATCATCCAGCTTAACAAAAGAACAGCTGATCACTCCAGTCGCCACTTCAATCAGGATGCGAACCAGCGGCTTGAGACCAGAACTACCAGGTCCCCCGGACCGTAGTTGATTGGAATCAACTCCCCCAGTCCATCACCTCCCTAAAGTCCCTTGAGCTGCTCAAGGCGGCTTTCCAACCTGGACATAACTGAACACACTCTGCACAAGTTTGGCCTGTTGTCATGTATCCAGATGAAGATGAAGATGAAGACTATGAGGCACTGACCCTGACCTGATAATTCCGCCCGGACGTCTAGATATTGTAGGTCAGGCAGCTGCCACCGGGCTTAAAATAAACATGACGACCCTTTTTCAAAGCTCAGCTTCGTTGCCGCTGTGGCTTTATCATTGAAAAGCTTTTAGTGTTCCGATCAAATTAAACACAAACTTGCTTCTTATATCATACAGTTTGATGTTACTTTAAGGAAATATTAACTTATGTTGAGCTGGAATCTTCAATTAAGTTGGGGACCCAAATAGTGGGCGAAGCCGAAATGAAGACGAAGCCGAGTTTTGGAATACCCCTATAGGTGACCGTCGTCAGATTCCCAAAAGAAAATGACGCAGCAAAGCTGGTGCAGTATCAATATCTTTCAGCTGTTGATTCATTGTAAAATACGTATTTGCATGTAGTTATATTAGGTTACAATATTTACGTACTGGGATAAACGATTGCAGAACAACGCCATTGGAGTCCCCTGGCCAAAAACATTCAACGGAGGACCCCGGATCAGAGGCGACCCATGTCATGCGGTAGGCTTACACCTGAAACATACATTGTTTCCATATGATTGTCGTACAGTTGTGAACAATACCAAGTTGATATTTTATTAGCCACATTGTTTTATAGAGCGACCATTATGTCATTATTGGCTTGCGTCTATGTTTTAATTTAACTAATTCCAAAGTGCTGTTGGTTGGTGTGGAGAGCCAGCAGAGGGTGTGTTACTCCGGTCCCCCACCGGAACCTGATTCTGATAATCCGGATGACTGGATGAAGCAAGTCATGCCAGAGATACGGAAGCGTTGCCCGGGAAGGAGGCAACCCACCCCAGCTGGTAAGTCGTCCTACGATCACCCATACCTTAGGTATAACTAACAAGCATGTGCATTTGTTCTATCACAAGGTTATGTATTGTATTGAGATCGAACGTTTTGGTTTACCGAATATCAAGGTTCATCCAAGACTGCAAATGACGTTAAACGTCTGCTAATATCAGATATGTCTCATGTTTGATCCTTCTCCCCAAAAGTGTTGCACGACTCCTTTCAATTTGAAAAAATAATTCAGATGTTTTTGTGCAACTCCCTAGACTTGGAGCCATGTCGATAATTGTATTGCGTCCGGTAACCGGTTACTGGCTCCACGCACGCAGAATATCGCTGCAATGCGCATAGGATGGTTCCCAGACAAAATGATGCTGACTATTTCTGATAAATTGCCGACTTTGAGAAAACGTTTTCGATTTTGTACACAACTTTTGGGAGCATTTTGAATCGCTTGCGAATTCTATGCGAGCACTCTGATTGGTTCAGATTCCAGAGTGTATTCTAGGCTGACATGGAGGATCATTACACTTGTTACTTCTACGAGTGTACACTTTGTGTTGTGTAACATTACAAAATTCATTATAGGGCATACACGACTCAAATAAATCAAGTATATCACAATGATACTTTTTTCTATACACAATTGGCCAAGCTGATTGTATTGGTCGTTTAAACGTCGCCAGATCTGCAAATATGTCCCTAACGTATTGAGAAGAAATTCTAATGTAACGGAATGAATGAGTCCTCATTTGCATAGCGGTGCGCGATTGGATCTCACCGAAAAAACGCACTGCATTATGTATTGTGCTGTTGCATATTTTATTATGAATAACGGTGCGAAAACGTAATCGTCAAGTCGTTAGATTTGTCTCAACCCGGCCGATTTACGTACTGGTCTTATTTCAGCAGCGCCAAGCTGTTCGACTGAAGTTCCCGGAAAAAAATACGACTATCTAACGACTTGTCATCACGTCTATAGCGACTCCCAAGAGTTAGACAAAAAAAGAAAACAAGTTACAACGGAAAATCTGTTGTTGCTTGGTCATGCTCATTGATTTTTTCCCCCAAATTCGAAGCGTTTCTCACTGCCATATTTGAAGGAGGGGAGGTTTTTTATATTTGCAATAACGAGGCCCTACTATAAATCTGAAACCTACCCCAGTTGGTACGGAGAAACCTACCCCAGCTGGTACGGAGAAACCTACCGCAGCTGGTACGGAGAAACCTACCCCAGCCGGTACGGAGAAACCTACCCCAACTGGTATGGAGAAACCTACCCCGGCTGGTACGGAGAAATCTACCCCAACTGGTACGGAGAAACCTACCCTAGCTGGTACAGAGAAACGTACCCCAACCGGTACGGAGAAGCATACCTTATTAGACACGGTGAAACATACCCCAGCTTAAAGTCGTCATATGATCTTGTTTATCGTTTTTGGATTTGTTTTATCACAAGGTTATTGCATTGACATTGACCTTTGGGGGGGGAGACCAAATATCAAGGTTAATAGAAGGCTGCTTACCAATCTCCTATTTGAAATTCGAGGGAGGGGAGGCTTTTTCATATTTGCAATAACAAGGCCCTACTATCAATCTGATTTTTGTAAGTCGAAACTTGCAGTCATGATTATGCATTTTACCCCAAACAAAGTTTATGATCAAATTATCTTTCTCACAACAAATAATTGATGTTTTTTTCTATCAATATGCATATATATTTCATTTGCTTACTTTTTGTCACCAGCAGAGTGTTCAAGTCCGCAACCCCTAGGTATGGTTAACGGGACAATCCGAGATGATCGCATCACGGCGTCCAGTAGTTACTCCTGTTGCCCTGCCAGTGATGGACGCCTCAACAATAACAACGGATGGGTAGCCTATACTTTGTATGTTTACAATGTCACAAAACGCTCTTGAATGTGTATAAGTAACAAACATCTAATTGCACCAATGTGTTTTCAGTTTGTACGTTTTGTTGTGTTTTGTTTGGCATTGTTTTTTTGCAATGGTTTTCCTTTTCATTATAGAAACAAATATCATCCCCAGCCAAAACCCAACCCGGTTGCGCATTTGAATTGCGCACTGTAACGAGTTTCAATCATTTTGTTTGATTATCAAATCCATTCTACCAACGGATTTGCGGAGTATTGTTATTTCATTGTTCCTCATCTTCTCTTCACTCTGTGTACAGTGAGGATGCCAATCCCTGGATCGAGGTGGACCTCGTTGAGCCGACAGTGGTGACTGGGGTCACCACACAGGGACTCTACGGTTACTATGTGACTGCGTACAAGGTGGCGTACAAGAAGCAGCCCTCGTCTGAACGAGAACACGTGACAGATGGAAACGGAAAAGTCAAGGTGAACATCAGTCTTTACTAAGTCTTGCTGTATGCTAAATTTAACTTTTGTACGTAACACAGTTTTTAAAAGAAAATGAAAAGGTATTGTTCTCATAGTTTCTTTGGGCTTTTATTGTAATTTGATAACTTCATTCTTTACAACTTTGTTCGGTTCTATGCTCTTGCAACCATTTAGCCATTCTAAAATCGCGTCTGAATATCTTACGTGTAAACAAAAACATGTCCTGCTTTTGATAATATTGGTTTTTCCTGCTAATTTAAAAGATTTTTCATTCAAATTCACCAAGATTTTTAATTCAAATTCACCAACTCTATCATTCCATTTCGTCCACGAAAAGTTCACACGCTTTTGACCAAACCAATTGAATTATTTACCAATCAATTAGTTTGGTCACCCTCTTTAGTCACCGGGTCAAGAATAATCGTCCTTATCGAGATCAAATTCATCTTTTATAAATCAATTCGACGAATTTGATTTCTGAATAACAAGGTTTGGCGTAGACGAGACAAAATCGAATACTCCATGACGAAAACGTGCGCTCTTGCTTAAATTTGCTTAAACTGAATTTGAAATTGTCTGACAAAAGATGAAATTAAACATTTGAAGTGCTTTATTGATGTTGATGGACGAATTTGAATGTTAGAAGCGGTGAATTCGAATAATAAACGTTTCAAAAATAGCCAGGGAAACCTATAATAACTCTGTTGTTTACCAATGGAATTAAACCACAATTTCAGATCATTTAACCCTCAAGGGGCCGGGTTATTTTGACCATCTCTCAGCGGGGGGGGGGGGGGGGGGGGGGGGGGGGGCGGATTCCGCCCCCCCTAAGATCTCGGCCATTGAGTGACGAAAAATTGTGAAACTCGGCACATGCATAGAGCAACTCTTCCTAAACATACCCGCGTAGCGCCGGAAAAAAATTTCGCTACGCGGCAACCCGTGGTCCGATTTTTATGTTTTTGGTATCAAAAGATGCGCAAAGCTCGAGGCTAAAAAGTCATAACAGCTCGGGTCGCAAAATTTTTTTTTAGAGGCTATCACGGAAAATGTTGAGGGGGGGGGGGCGGATTCCGCCCCCCGGCCCCTTTAGGGTTAAATAAGGAATGATAAATTGTATGGTGCGAGCTTAATTTGCTTTGTGCAACAGGGTGAGATTTAAGGTTTTAGGATCAAAAGCAGGACGTGTTTTTTTATTACACGTAGTCAAACAAATGTAACATCAGTAAAGATTGATACTTCATTCAGTTATAGAAAGGTTATCCAAGGGAAAATAGCCTTTTGTCCCCCAAAAAGCAAAATGCTCTGAAACTCAAATAGAAACCCATGGGATGTCTATATGGCTAAAAATGATGTGACAAGTAAGTCCCGACCCAGAACAGACTGTTTACCTTATATATTATTACGGTTTGTTGAAATTTCGTTTCGAAGGAAGACCCTGTCAGCTAAGAATGCCCACTTTTTGTAGTTTTGGTCCTAGACTTTACTACAAGTAGGCTATTTTGTTACAAAAAAACCAATGTGCGTTTATTGTGTTGGGATTCATTTCAGGTGTTCGTCGGTAACATTGATGGCAACAACCCGGTCACTAACCTGTTTGACGAGAGTGTGGCGGCCACGGTAGTGCGCATTGAGCCTACTGATTGGCAGCATGAAGCTTCCTTGCGATTGGAGCTGCTTGGATGTCGCCGTGGTTAATTCAGCTAACGGATTCAGGTGATTCTCTCCGACAGCGCTGACAAAATTTCATTCTATATAAAGTAAATGCGACGGTAGATAATATGAAGATTGATAATCAATAATATGTTTGGTAGGAGGAATATTTAGCGGAAAGCAAGAATACGCTGAAGATTTAGAATAATCACTACGGATTAATAGACCTATTATCTCAAATTTTCGTTAGTAGAATGCAATATATACAAGATTATCTGAAATAATATTCATTTATGTGTAACAAAGTAAATTACTAAAGCGTAGGACAATAATTTTTCAATTATATCATTGCCACACATAATTGCTAGGATGTATAGGTCATCAAAATACCTTAATTTAAAACTATCCGCATCAAATAGAGTGGAGGCTCATTTTACGTTGATAAGAAGAAAACAACATGAATGTTTTAATTCAATGCGTGCTACGCTCTGTGAATATGTACATGGTTCTGAAATAAAAACAAATCTGGACTTGTACATTTTTCGAGGCGAAGCCGAGTCAACTAGAAAAGTCTAGATTTTACCGAGCGATAATATTCCTCCCATTTCACAATTTAAATATATTTGAACTTTTATTTCAACACAAAATTAGTGAAAAATGTATTTCTCTCTTCCAAACCACCCCTTCACGAAAATGTTTGAAGCCAACTCTGTAGCGCTGGCTCTTTGGAACAATACGCGCTTTGCGCAACGCTGAACGCGCACACCAGCATGCATTTGCACATAAATATATAACTTGAAATAACTAGATCGGACGCGCGTACGATACGAGCGTTTTAACTGGACGCAGTCATTCGTCGGGTGAATAGGGTTAGAAATTTAAAGGCGCATTTCTTCGGCGTGACGATCACTTCTCAATCACTGCTTGCCGTGGTTAATCTATGTAATAGACCATGGCGAAAAGCCATGGTCTATTACGCGCGAAGAATTGCCGAGATAGTCAGTGGGCTTGTGGTAAAAGCCCATATGCATTTTGCGGTAAATTATTTGAAACTCTCAGGATCATTAATGGATACGTCAAGAAGTTCAAAACCACTGATGCCATTTTTCTGACCCGTTGTGGGCGGGGTATGACTTTAAAACGTGGGGGCTCGCCCACAAAAAAAAAAGATTCAGATAATTTTTTTTTTTTTTTTGACCTTTGGACAGCTCACCTTAGTGCTACATCACGAGAAAAAAAAAATCCAAATGTTGCCTCTTTTGGGGGTGGGCCACGTTTTAGTTAAGTAGGGGGAAACTGCCGTTAACAGAAGATCGAGCTGTAACGGGCAATCTTGGCGTTTTTGTTGTTTGTTTCCATTCAGTACAGTACATGGCGGGCAGAATGTTTACATGACAAATCATACACAAATGTTTCCCCTTTTGGGCGTGTCCCACTTTTGGTAAAAAGGGGCGTTATACCAAAAGTGGGCTTGCGGGAGCCCATATACATTTCGGGAACATTCTCTGAAATACTCAGGATCACCTACGGACACCTCAAAAAGTAAAAAAAAAAACCTTGTTCCCACCCCCGGGGGATTTTAAAATGGCAGCCATTTTAAACATGTAATAGAATGTTGTACTTAGAGAAATGGACACAATCATCGACACTGTGATACATTTATGTTTCGATCTTTTTTATCTATCCTGACTACAATGCTAACCTCTTTTATTAAAGTAAATCTCTTGAAGCTTTGAAACTTCGTGCAATGGTAGGCCTTGATGAATAATGTTACAAAATGTAACGGTGTCGGTGACGAATTTAGCATTGTGATTGCCGGATTTCTGTGGATGTACAGAATATCCTAATTAAAACCTTTCCGGGGTCAAATAGAGTGGAGGGTCAGTTTTTGTGGATAAGAAGAATGCATGATCTTCAAAAACGAGAATAATTCCAAATTATTTATAGTTCTGTGTTTATACCTCTGAGTTGTCGTAAAAAGAAGCTAAGAGGCAGCTAGACCCGTGAACGTGGCTATATACATAGCCACGCTTCAGTCTATAGTAAAAACATTCTATTGTGATCCGCGGTTACAAAACAGAAAATCAGCAGAATATTTTTTCGGCAGAATTATGAAGATGAAGGAAAATGAAAAAGATTGGAAAGAAATATGGCACATTTGGTTTGAAAAACCTTCATTTTTTGAAAGATCTTTAAAACAAACCCTTGCACAATGGAACAGCAATATAAAGTGGGTGATTTGGCAGACTTTCGAAGTGGATTTAGCAGAATTTTACATGGTATTACAGTCATCCTGCCATGTAAGACGGTTAGTTGGGGGTACCCACTGGTGATACTTCTTCCGTTTTGCGCTTGCGGAACTCGGGGTACCAGAGTGTCATTCCTGTCTTTGATTTTCTGATCATTTGGAAAACATTCGTTACTTTGTCACCGTACTTTACATCTTATTTCTTGGCAATGCCAGATCCAACACTCGCGGAAATTCACAGGAGGCCCAACAAGTAAGTGATTCACATATTGGCAAAATTATACATGGTTATATGTAGCGGACCAAAAGATAGAATGCTGTCGCTTGTATTTACCCGACGGAAGCGCGTGGCGTTGTATACAACGCCACGTTCACGGGTCTAAGAGGCAGCCATCTTGATCTCATTGAGGGATATACCGATATTGTACATTTATAATTCAAATGCTTTTTCACTTCGCTTTCATGTTCGTATTTGTGAAATAAAAATACCTATATGAATGCAACATGTATTTGCTCCTGCTTTTTAATGGTTGCTTGATCTCATATTTTATTTTATAAAACCGACATACTTATCCTTGTCATTTGATTGGTGGAACTCACATCACGTGTCATTCGTTATTACTCCCATTCAAGCCGGGTCTAAAAAAAGTACTATCCGCCCATAGGGAATGGGAAATATTGAACAGTTAGGGTCATTCTTGTTCTAAGACGCGGTATTTGTGTGCAAAGGCATGTTGGTGTGCGTGTTCAGCGTTGCACGTAGTGCGTATTGTTCCAAAGAGCCAGCGCTACAGAGTGGGGTTCAGTGGCGCACCCAGGATTAGGTTTTTTTTGGGGGGGGGGGTGGGCTGACAATTTTTTTTTTAGAGGTTAACTTTTTTTTTTTTAAATATTGCCCAAAATGTTGGGCCACAGAAAAAAAAATTGTGGTTTTTTTTGGGTGGGGACAGACTACTTTGACGTTGGTGGTGCCACATACACCCCTATTATACTACTCGAAAATAGGCCACATACATATCACCAAGGTCAAATCGTGGAACTAAAAAACAAAAATTAAATAAGAAAAAAAAATGACAACCTCGGGGGGGGGGGGGATCATTCCTGTTTTACGAAACATCCCTCTGACTATAATATGAAATGCCCCTCCACAACTCGTTACCTTATAAGGACATTGGCGTGCGCGTCGCGGGTACTGCGCGATGTTGCGCAAAACGCAGCTGGGCTGGTGTAGTGTGAATTTCGGACCATGAAATACTGATTCACTGGTAGTACATTGCGCATGCAAAAACACCGGATTTCATGGGAGTCCAAATTTCATATGACACTGAAAAAGTGTTTAAGACACAGACATATAAACACATAGTCCGCCAGATCCTTTTCGAAACTACTCGCGCATTCCGTGATTTCGCAGCGCCCGACTAAAATCCAAACTATGGGCAAATTCACCTCTCCGTATAGTGATTGTACACACACCCAAACTATTCCATTTAGAAAATTCTATGAAGTTATTTTTTGATTGTAAAAATAAACCCCTTGTGTACTTAATATGATTGAGGTAGATTAAAACACAATAACCTGCACAACCTTTTTCACCCAGATTGTGAGTAAAACAGCCCTATTAAAGCTAAAAATTTACATCCTGTATGTAAATGTATGTACTGTACTAATCGCGTATCTGCATTGAACGCGCGTCGCGCAGAAATGCGAGCTGTCAACAAGCGTTTTGCCCTTACTTTTTCAAATCACGGTTTTACGCGCACGACTGGCGGTCTATGCATTTATATGTCTGTGGTTTAAGACCAGCAGCTGGGAGCTGCAGCTGCAGCTAGCCATGTCTTTATTCTTCCAATTAAGACCGGCCACGTGACGGGCTGTCGACCAATAGGAATGCGTAAACTGTCTTAGGTATTTATGAATAAACATTTAATTTAGGAATGTTCTGGTGTTACATGTACATTCAATGTACAGTGCCAAATTAAGTGGTTTGTCAAGTTTATGGAATATACATTTAATTTACATTGCAATCATAAATTTGACCCTCTTGTTGCTCTTCATTTGTATGTATTTATTTCATTTTTTTGTCTGGGGAAGGGGAAAATTACCCTGTGTCCCCCCTCCCCTCCCCGGGACTCTCATGTCACTTAATGGTGCACATTGTCTGACAAAAAGAACAGCTGATGCGATAAACTACCCGTTTACCGTTTCATTTGACGAAATACCGTCGAATGGCTTGGAGCGTTTACTAAACAGTGGAGCCTTGTGCTAAAAGCTCCGTGCGCCGACAAAAGGGGGCATTTTTCCTCGTTTGACCCACTTTGTGTGTCCCGTGGACGGCGCACTGTACTGTACTGGTTCCACACTGTACTGTACTGGTCCCACATACCACGAGGCCGAAATGTCTCCACATCTGAAAATTTTCTTCATGGCATAAAGAACCAACATGCAAAGTTTCATGCTTTAGTCACAAAGTGTACAATAATTATTGTTTTACATATTTGACCTTAATAGCCCCATTATATCACAAAGTGGTTTGTACATCTTATTTTCTTGGGTCTGGTAATATATGTTGAAATGATTATTCGTGATGCAACTGTATTGAAGCAACGACAGTCTGATGGCCATGATCAGACCCCGAGGTGCAAGAAGCCCACCCTAGAATTCTTTTTCATAATTTTTCAAGTTTTCAAGTCTTCGTTTTTGGAAGCAAATACCGCCACACATACTTGATGAGGATGCAGTAAAACAATTGTTATAAATAGTGTATGTGAAGGTCATTGACCCCTCAAAGGTCACTAGA